GAGAGAGAGAGAGAAAGAGAGAGAGAGAGAGAGAGAGAGATTAAAATAATATAATTTAATAAAAAATGACATAATCAATATAAAAGATGTTGTCAATTAAACTGTAAATTTATCATAATTAATATATTTTTTAAAATGAATATATAATTATATATTGTATTGGGTTATACGCCAAGAAATAATTAATTTTGATCAATTTAAATTTAATGACTCAATAAAAGGACTTGAATTAACAAAAATTGAAAATCAATTTAATAGATAACTTTTGAACATTGAAATGAAAATTTGTATTTAAAACTTGTTTATTACTTACAAACCGGTAAATTATTAATTTTATAAAAATAATTTATACTTTTACAATCATATAGTTTTATCTAATGATACAACACAAAAGTCTCTCTCTCTCTCTCTCTCTCTCTCTCTCAACTCAATCGTTAGCACAACTGTCAATATTATAAACATATCTAATAATTTTCCAACATTTCTAAACTAAACTAGCACATCTAACATGTATTTAAACTAATTATAATTATAACTCATCTATAACGGATAAAAAATGAAAGTCAAGTTCAAAACCTATTAGAATTTTAATTAAACATGATTGGTTACATACATTCAAAAATTACATTAGCATATTTTATAATTATTTAACATATTTATCCTCAAACAAATGCTAATGTGTTTTACAAAACTTTCATAGTTAATTAAATATTGAAAAGTACACAATAATCAATAAAAAAAATATAGATCAACTTGATCATTATTTAAAATAGTTTGTTTTATAAATCACTTCGGGATAACAGAATCCATTAAGCATATTATGACACCAAATAATATTTACCACCACGGACAAACTTATTCAATTACAGTTTATACTATAATTCAGATAACCATTAATATTAGATTACAATTACCAATCATATCATTACAATTTTTTTGTACTAAATTACAAAAAAACAATAATTAATGTTAACACATATTAACAATATAAACCTAATAATTATAAAAATTTACCTAGATAACTGTGCTACATTTGTACCACCACTTTTCGGTACCGGTGTTGGGCTGGATAGTGGTCAAAGTGGAACCACTGGTACCGGCGATCTTACTATTCTGTACGCTCAACACTACTGTCCACGTGATTATGTACTCGTACTACGCGTTGGCGGCCTTTGGACCGACTGTACAAAAATATTTGTGGTGGAAACGATATATCACACAAATTCAGGTTGGTTACATTTTTGGGATGTTCTCGCCGAACTATTTTTATTTAGCATTAACTACGCTAACATAGTAAATTCTAATTTAATTTATGGATCTAGATAATTAATTATTAAACAATAGCTAGTTAGTTTAAATACAATACGAAAATAACTGTCTATGTGACTAATTACTAAACTGTATGCGTTGAGTTTAGTAGTCTCATCCCAATTTTAGCATAACATAAAACATATAAAATAATTTATTAAACCATTTCACTAATCAACCATAATATTATTTATATATTTTATTAGCTAATCCAGTTCATCATACTGCTGGTCTATTGTTCGTTGACACTGCCATTTTACCGTGGTTATCGGCCGGTGTACCTATGGCTGGGTGGCAGTCAGCCCCCCATATTCCTGGCACTATTTCTTAATTTTTATTTTCGCTCCTATAATAAATCGCGAGTCAATAAATATGATAAACATATGAGCAATGCATCGAAACATAATTTTAAGACACTTTTTAAAAACTAGCCTGGTACATTTGATAATACACTTACACTTTGTTATTATGTATGTATTTTTTCAACAATATGTTGTTTAAATTTTTAGTTTATACTTAAATATACATGGTTGTTAATTAGAGGGGATAATAATGATTATTAATGATGTGTTTA